GATGTTAAATCTTTTAAGCTTTTTTATTAAAGAACTGACACTAGAGTGCATATTTTGTGTCCATGAATAAACTATTACAGAAAATATTACAATATTAAAGAACTGTTCTTGTTAATTTGATGAAAACATTTTAAATATCCAGTGAACTCACATCAGAATAACATAGATTTGTTGTTAGAATAATTGATTAATCGAAAAAATAATCGTTAGATTAATCGATTAGAAAATAATCGTTTGGTACAGCACTAGACAGCATCATTAGGATGAAGATCAAAGATGTGACTGATGGTGGGATGATAACAGACACAGTTAGAAATGTTTATGGTTAAAGCATTAAAGTCACAAGTCAGAGTGATGTTTTAGGTTTGTAGTTACAGATCAATCAGCATTAAAGACCCAGGTGGTCCCGGCATGTAGGGTCAGGATCATGTGGTTTCAGGGTCATGTCGACCAGCATGAGTTTTATAAAATGTTACTTCCACAGATGAGATGAGGTTTGTCTGTGTTCAGAATGAGAGTTCTGCTCCATCATTGTGTGCTCAGGTTAATCTCAGACTTTCTACATGTTTACAAAAATGCAATAAATCTAGTGGCTTTATTTACAAAGAAGTAGTTCCYGTTTTATGGTCAGAGCCAGTTTGGGTTTTAACTGAGAACCAGTTTTATTGTTTAAACCAGTGCTCCAGCAGCACCACCTCTGCTGGTCCAGAGGAAAGGACTCCTGCCCTTCCAGGGCTGAGATTAATAATTGAAACTGTGACAAAAAGAYGGAACAATAAAAATCTGAGCTTCAACACTCAGAAACAAAGGAATTACACGAACCTTTGTCTCATTTATTTCTATTTAAAGTTTTATAATAATTACAGTGACGCAGCGATTTTCATGGGGTTACATTCTCAGAGTACCCACAAATTGTGAAAAAACGTGAATATTGGATGTGATCCAGAAAAGGCCTACGGCGCTCATGGGGTGGAATTATRATGCAAGTAGSGGTCTCTGTAGTACATAGGTGGAGTTTCCTGTTGTGTGGGCGGAGTTTGTCGTAACTGTGATTGGCAGACAGTGAGAGTGAAGTTTGTCATCGCAGTAATTGGTCGAATTGACTTGTCTTATGGGGCAATTTAAGAGATGAAGTAATGTAATAGTAACGTTATCGTGAACATGTAAATATAATTTATTGACTTTGAATTTGGTGTGACTACCCCTTCCTGTCTCAAGCTGTGACTAATATTAATATTCATATATAAAAACAGTGTTTGCCAGGCAGGTTAGGGCTATTTTCTAACTGAGCTGAATCACTTCACATGCACGGCGTTAAATTTCCTCTGGTTAGCGCCTTCCTGTTTTGAGTTATGCCTAAAATAATATTTTTAAGTATAGGTGTTTTCTTGGAGTTTCAATCGAGCTACATGTCCCCCCAGCTGCCCAGCGTTCATCCAACCGAATCATTGTGGTGAATGTGGTCCATCAAAATCCTCCCACAGAAGTCAAACAGACCAGTTATGGTTTTGACAAACTCCTCCCACACAACAGGAAAYTCCCACTTAGTGACAACAGAGACCCCTTCTGTCATAATACATGGCATTTGTCGCATACTGTACTGTAGCGTTCTGTACTGTACTGTATTTTTTAATGAAACAAAATGTATGTTAATATTTAATTTAACTTGAAATCTCACAAAAAACATGAGAAAAAAAGAAATGTTCCTTACTGTACGGCAGTGGTTCCCAAAGTTGGGGTTGGGACCCCTTTGCGGGTCACGAAACATCAAGTGAGGGTCCCCAGAGGATTTCCAGGCATTAATTTAAATGCAAAAAAAAATGCTAATGGAATATTTTCTTCATGGTTATTGCAATTTTTAAAAAATAATAATCATAAATGAATACAGTTAGTATTGTAGTTATTAGGTGTGTTCATTTTGTTGTTATTCCCTTGTTCGACAGAGTTATTAGTAAAGTTTGCATATGTAAACAAGTAATATTTGGGGTCTTGAACATCTGCAACTGTTTTGTGGGCCGGAAGCAAAAAATGTTTGAAAGCCACTGCTGTACGGTATTTACGGTCTCCGCGATATCACTGGAATTACTGCAAACTACTACTAATAAGGTTCCATGAAAAGATTTGTGAAAGGCTGAGTCCGCAAACTGTGAAACCCAACTTTGCAGGGCTTCACAGTATTTACTTTTTTTTAACTGAGGAAGAAACTTCTACAAAATGTGGTTTATCATCACCCTGAACTAGCACAGGAATGTCTGGGTGAAAATTGGTGTTGATGTTCGTCATCACATCTTGTTTCATAAATATTTTTAATGGATCCTTCCTTTTTTTAAAACAAAACTCAAACGCTGTTTTTTGTACCAACTTTGAATGTTGGACTTGGGCCTCATGCAAGAACATGTTCATATTCTTATCCTAAATTTCTCTTACTTTTGTTCGTATGAAGGGTTCGTATGAACATGCCACGTCAGATTCAACAAACTCTTCTGTCATTAGGAAAAATGTGTAAATGAGCAGCATAAACTGATGAATGTGTATCAGGTGCTTGTGCACGAGGAGAGGTGATTAGCATAATTACCACCCCAAAAACACTATGCAAGGCTACGTTTACTGCCCCACATACCAGGAAGTGTCCATTCATAGAGGACATCGCAAAGTGAAAAGAAGAACTTTACAAGTTCTGAGATTGAGGTCCTGCTCTCAGAGATCTAGAAAAGAATTCTTAGCAGCGTCAGACCTGCTAAAACCAAAGAGTGAAATGACAACTGCTGTTAATGTTGTGTCTCCTGTGGGTTGTTACAGTCACAGAAATAAAAATATAAATCATATTCATCTCTCTCTAGTCCTACTCTGGTTTTTCTTTGGTCAAATATTTTTAATTTAGATGTAAACAACTGTTACCAAACTTCAATTAATGCATAATTTAAGTTGGTTTGTAGTTTGAGATCTTCATATTAATATTGAAGTGTTATACAACAGCATTAATAGCCAATTTATTTTAATTTAACCAATTTATGTCATTAGTCTACGTTATTACATTTAAAATTATAATTCCAGTTCAAAACAGAATAGCCTATTGTCAACATAATTATGGAGTGTGATTCATTTTCAACTCGAAATATTTTCTAAATAATGAAATATAAAGTTATTAACGAAGAAAATCCATCTGGATAACAGCAAACTGACTGCTGGTAAAATATACGACAGGTCTGGACCACTSRTTTGTATCTGAAGAAAATCTTACAATCTGAGAAAATTGRTGAACGCCACAAATTCTCCTAAATCACTCGTACGCACAACTTAAGAACCTGTTSGTACCARTGGTTCTTGCATGAGGCCCAATGCTTGTGAACTGTTCAACTTCAGTCTGAACACACAATCATCCACAGATGGAATGGGAATGAAAACGTGATGAAAGGAATCAGCTGACTGAGGGATGAAGCTTGGTGGGTGGGGTTACAGTGAATATAAAGACATTTTAAAAAGTCAACATACAGAATAACTTGAGAGGACCCTCTGTCAGCAGAACAGAAGAAAGCACATTGTTAGCATCAGAGCAAACTACATGTTACTGTAAACAAGGCGAGCAGCAAAACAGTGTTAYTGTTGCCGTGGAAACCAGCTGGATGTTATTGTCACCATAGTGATCGGTTGGACAAAAAAAAAATCAAATGTTACTGTCAACATGACAATCGGTTGAATAATTTTTCCGTCACCGAAATGACCAGCTGGACAGTTTAAACCAGGGATGGGCATTCCTGGTCCTCGAGGGCCGCAGCCCTACATGTTTTACTCTTTGCTCCAACACACCTGATGCATGTGTCGGAGCAGAGAGAAAAAAAAAAGGAAAACATGCAGGGCTGAGGCTCTTGAGGACCAGGAATGCCCATCCCTGGTTTAAAACCACGTTACTGTCACCCTGGCAACCAGCTTTACAGTGTGTTACCATCTCAGGTTAGGTTTTTATGGAGAGAAACAAGTCTCATAATGCAAGCGCACGCACAGATCAAGATATGAACGTACACGCAACAAGATTTGAGCGACTGAGCAACAAGATTTGCATGCGCACAAGTTCTGGGATCTGAATTTTGAGTAGGGGAGACCGGGGATGATTGTAACACGGGGTGAGTTGTAACGCCACCAGTTCGACCATTTAGAGAGCAGATAGAAATCATGTGATTATTTCAGTATTAAGCCACTCACTTCCCAACCTCACATGGTGGATATCTGTGTTGAAAGTTGGTGTGTTCTAATTTTAATGAGAAAAAAATGATTTTGAGGTAAGAAAGTAWTTTTTTTCACCAAAAGGTATATTTTGTTTGGTGCCTACACAGGTAAAGCTAGAATCATAAAACTGATGTAAGTTAAAAAGGTATGACTAATGACAGGTTTCAAGCAAAATGTGGTACATTTTTCCTCAGCTAATTTCAAAGCACAATGCAGCTAGCTAAACAGTGATAGACAGGTGTGGGTGGGTTGTAACACCCATACAACCCATCAGATGTGTGGAGAAAGAACATGGGATTTTCCACATACACTGATGAGATACTGCAAAGCACTACAGACTCTGAGGAAACAGGGATCCAGTGATCTTACTTGTGTTTGTTACATAACTAGCAAAGTTTTCTGAGGCACAAGAAAAGATCTTATGACTATTTGAGTCTAGCAGCAAACTGAAAATTAGCCAGGGAGAGAACTAAAATGTTTGTTTGACATTATTTGCAAAAAGTGACAAACATTGTTCTGGGTTGTTGTATTCCTCAGATAAATTTGTTGTAAAATGAAATCTACAACGTAGCCTCTATTTTTGCTTCTTTTGGCTTAYTGTTACAACTCACCCCAGCATGTGTTACAACCTACCCCACTACTGGGGTAAGTTGTAACAAAGAACCTCGGTGTCTTTGACATTAAGTCACAAAGTCTATGATGTACAATCAGTACCATTTGTAGTAAACACGTGAGTATTTTGTAAAACAGTTTGAGAACTCTTATCTCCAAAAATCAAGGAGTTATATATAGATGTTCCAATAAATCAACTTTTCTGAAGATGTTATTCTTCATCAACCCATGAATATTCGTTGGTAGTTACTTGCACACAAAGGATGTCTGTAAATCTCATCCTGTGTATGGAAAAAAAATAATGGTCAAGTAAAAAGTGTTACAACCATACCCGGTCTCCACTTTAAATGTACAGCCAACACAAAAGAAACAGGAAAAATTAAGGTTATTTTAAAGTTAAACAAATATTAGGTTATCCCTCTACAAAAACTATTGGAAACATATATTTACCAGTGTTCCTC